TCCTTTAATTTTACCCTAGGCAACTGTTTCACCCCTTCTCCCAAGTCTGATCCGATTTCTAGAAAGAACAACTTCCAGGAGTTCTAGAATATTTAATCTTCCTCCTCTCTTATAGGTAGGACCCTAAATTGGTAGCATTTAAATTTGGCCTGATTAAACAAATCAGTAGCTTATGGTCTATTGCAAGAAGCCAACGTTCAGACAATCAGCCTTTTTATATTTTATTAGAAAAATAGAGATTAGCTATAAATGAATATAAATGAGCAAAACATGACATCTTTACATAAACAATCATTTCCAAAAGACCCCAGCCATCACCACAAGACATTTTCCTTTATAAAAAACCAAAATAACAAATAAGCTAACTACATTTCCAAACAGAGTTCTATCTTACTGTTAATTTGAAAAATAAGATCCTTTTGTAGCTTTTCTTCTGTCGTTCATTCTTCCGTGCTGGAATTCTCTGGCTGCGTTCGGGCAGACGTCCAGGCTGTCTTTCTGTCCATCTCCTCCTCTGTTTCTCTTTCCTCCCATCTCTCTTAAATCAAGCTTTGATGTCGTTGTCCGTCTGAGTTGAGATAGTTGCCTGGCTACTGGATAACGGTCACCTTGTTCTTCATAGTTTTTTCTACTGCAAAAGAACTGACCTTGGAGATCTTGCTTCGATCTAACTTGCACACAGACACGAACGGATTTTTAGCCTAAGTTCGCTCCTATAAAATAAATCACTCTTCATCTTTCATAAGCAAATTCATGACAAATGGTGGTGCTAATTTATGGTCCTTATTCATGGGGTGAAACTCACAGTTCCTAGTTGTTAGTTGTTAGTTCTGAGCCAACGATGTTATTTCCGGGCAGGGACAGAAGCACCAAAAGCCATGCTTCCTTTAATTTTGGATGTTCTGTGCCCTTGTTTGGAAGAAGAGCTATAGCTCAGGAGTGGAGTGCATGCTTTGTATTCAGAAGGCTTTGGTTTAATCCCCAACATCTCCATGTTCAGCTGGGAAACAACCTTCTCTGATACCCTGGAAAATGCTGCCAGTGATTATGTAGACAGTATTATATTAGTTAATTTCAGCCCTTTCTAAATAAACATAAAATTAATAGTGGCAAAACTGATTGCTATTCTTGCAAGATCTTACTAAAACAGTTCACACCTTACTTCACAGACAGGCAGACAGTCGATCTGTCTACTTTCTGAAAAGGTATTTTAATTGGAGATAACTGGATGCTGCTCCTTAAATCCGTGTTGTGGAATCACCGCCAAAGAGCCACTGTCACCAGCTCTGCATCCAAAATGCAATAGCGCAAAAGAAAATTGACATGTTCACTTAAAAACACATTCCCTTGTTTATACGTAGAGTTGCGCTCCTGAAATCATTATCATCATCAAAAGGGCAATAAACACAGTAATTTTTGATCAATTACATGCCTTCCAACAAGGTTCAAGCTCCTTAGAGGAGTAGTTGCAAGATCAGTGTATAATTACTTAATTGAAAATGCCCAGTACCCAACTGAACAGAAAGGGAACTTTAAAAAGTCAAGAGGCATGAAAGATCAGCTGCTTATTGACAAAATAATACTAAAGAATGCAATACACACACACAAAACCCATAATTTAACATGACCTGGATAGACTATATGAGGGCATTGGACTCATCACCACATAGCTGGATTAACACCTGCCTAAAAATTTGGAATCAATAAAAATATTCAGAAGTTCCCCAAGAAAATGTGGAAAATTAGGAAACTATCTTCATAGAACCACAGAATCGTGAAGTTGGAAGAGGCCTATAAGGCAATGAAATCCAACTCCCTGCTTGATGCAGGAATACAGATCAAAAGTTATCTGCCAGGTGGTTGTCTAAATTTCTCTTGAATGCCTCCAGCGTTGGAGAACTCACCACCTCTTGAGGTAGTTGGTTCCACTGTCTTACTGCTGTAACAGTTAGGATGTTTTTCAAGACATTCAACCGAAATCTGGCTTCCTGTAAATTGAGTTCTTTATTACCTGTCCTGCACTATGGGATGATCGAGAAGAGATCCTGACCCTCTTCGAGCCTTTCAAGTATTTGAGAAGTATGATCATATCACCCCTCTGTCTTCTTTTCTCAATTCTCAACATGCCCAGTTTTTTCAGTCTTTCCTCATAGGGCTTGGTTTCCAGCCCTCTGATCATCCTTGTCACCCTCCTCTGAACTTGTTCCGATCTGTCAGCATCCTTCGTGAAGTGTGGTGTCCAGAACAGGACATAAGATTCAAGGTGAGGTCGAACCAGTGCTGAATAGAGGGGGACTAATACCTTGTGGGATTTGGAAACTATACTTCTATTAATGCAGCCTAAAATACCATTGGCCTTTTTTGTAGCCACATCACACTGTTGGCTCATATTCAGCTTCTGATCTACAACAATTCCAAGATCCTTCTTGATCGTAGCTTTGCTGAGCCAGGTATCCCCCCATCTTCTAAATGTGCAGTTGGTTTCTTTTTTCTGAGGTGCAGCACTTTGCACTTATCCCTGTTGAGTTTCATTCTGTTGTTTTTGACCCAGTGCTCCATCCTATCAAGGTGATAAAGTAGTATTGCTGAACCAGATATCACCCATCTTAAAACTGTGCATTTGGCTTCTTTTTCTTAATGGCCCATGTTGAATAAATTGGTGAAGTTAGCATCTAAGAGGAATATTTCAAGGAGATTCTTTGTTGCCTCTATTGTTTAACATCTCACTATTTCCTATGTCAATAATTTTAAATAAAACTGGATTGAGCTCCTATATTTCAGATTTTAGATTAGATTAGGCATCCTTCAGTCTCAAGAGACTACAGTAACATGCTCTGTATGGAGGACTTGGGACAGCATCTAGTGTAGCTGAGAAGGTCAATTCAAGAGTGACAATTCCTTCCACACTGTCCCCTGTCCAGCTCCCTGATTTTGCTGGTTTTGGGACTGCTTCTTTGCCTCGGCCTGCTGGGCAGGGGTCACAATGCGAGAGACCATGATGCACTGCCTACCTCCAGACTGAATGCTCAGATGTCAAGGTTTCCCATCTGTTGAAATCCATTCTTAAGCCCTTCAGATCCCGCATGCAGATATCCTTGTATTGCAGCTGTGGTCTCCCTCTGGGGCAATTTCCCTGCACTAACTCTCCATACAGGAGATATTTGGAATCCAACCATCAGCCATTCTCATGATATGCCCAAGCCAATGTAGATGCCTCTGTTTCAGTAATGTATGCATGCTAAAATTTCCACCTCTTTCTAGGACTACTCTATTTGGAACTTTGTCCTGCCAGGTGATACTTAAAATGTATCAGAGACAACGCATATGGAATGTGTTCAGCTTCCTCTCTTGCCATGCCCAAAGGGTCCAGAACTCACTGCAGTACAGGAGTGTGCTCAGAACACATGCTCTATAGGCCTGGATCTTGGTATATGCCGTCAGTTTTTTATTAAAGTATACTCTGTTTGTGAGTCTAGAGAATGTGGAAGCTGCTTTGCCAATGCATTTATCCAGCTCAACATCTAGGGAGAGAGTGTCAGAGATCGTTGAGCCAAGGTATCCAAAGTCATGAACAACCTCCAATTCATGTGTGGAGATGGTAATAGACACCTTTTATTGCAGTTCCAAAGGTGTGCTTCAGCATGACAGCAAAAAAGATCCCAAACAGGGTTGGCGCAAGGAAACAGCCAAAATATATGACCTAGAAAGGAAAATGATTGTTGAAACTATGGAAGAATTAAAACAGCATGTAACAGCTACAGCAAAGAAAACTGTAAGATGTAATAGACTCTTGAAACAATATAGAGAAAACATACAATTTTGAAATAACCAACGATTATTCTATATGTCACTAGGAGAAAATGCAGAGCAAAAGAAATTAGGTTCATGTACAGAACAATTTTGGAAAGAAATGTGGGAAAGCTACTCGTGGATTTAATACATTTGTAAAGAAACTCAAGGAAAACAAATGAACGATATTGTAACAACAACTGAAATGATTAAGAGGCAAATAAAGGCTGTGAAAAATATAAGCAGTTGTAGATCTTAGAAATCACACCACCATCAGAGCTACAAAAAATGGCAATATTAGGAACTGCATAAATACTTTGTTGATATTTAACATATACTTAGGTTTTTGGTTAAAACTTGTATCAGTTATATATTACAAGTCAATGTTTTTATAATTTTGACAGTGCCTGTAGTTTTTTAATCATCATCATCATCCAAATCTGACTTACGGTGACCCTTTCCAGAGTTTTCTAGGTAGAGAGTATTCAGAATTAGTTTACCTTTCCCTTCTTCTGGGAGTGCCCTGGAACTGCAGTTTGCCTAAGGCCGCACAGGTTGGCTTTTCTGTCAGGAGACGTAGTGAGGAATTGAAACTTTGGCTCCACAACCAGAAAGCTAATCTATTGAATTATTCCTGAAAACCTTCCAAAAATAAAACATGTAAAAATGTTGAAACAGGTTGCAGAGTAGCACAACATCTTGTTTTAAAGGCAGAAAACCCTGCATGCCAAATCTAATAACTCAGCAGGATCAACATGAAGCTTTTGAGGAATGGGGCCCTCAGTTGTGCAGATGATACCCACCATTTTTTACAGTGGAGAACTAAAAGAAGAATGCAGTAGACAAGTATTATAAGTAAGTGGTTGATTACAGCTGCCTGTTGAGCATACAATCTGTATGAAGTTGTTCAAAAGCAGTGAACTAAATTCACTCTTGTGACAACAGAGACATTAATAAACTGCTTCACAGAACACTGCCAATCTGCATATTTACCTTATCTGGGTTTTCTGATTTTTATGTGATTTCAATTTCTCAGGATATGTGTTCATCACCAACATCCCTGCTGGTGCTACAGACATTCTCATTATTGAGCAGAGGAAAACAGAGAATATCCTGGGTAAGCAATGAAAAAGAATGTAAATTGGGCACATTTGTTTCCAATGCAAAAATTAGAGTACTTAAGTGACTTAATTAGTGTACATGCATACATCCCCTGAGCACACACAATATGGTGTTCATATTTTGAGATCAATCAATTCAGAGTAAATATTATTCCTTGATGCATCAGATGCATCAAAGAAGCTTTAAGCATTGCAATCATAGTGACTTCAATCAGGAGCTTTTAAATACCATGAATTAACTGTTTCTAAATGTGCACAGAATGCTTTTTAAAGTCAGAGTTTCATCTTTATCTAACTCTCACTGCATACCTACATGTATCTATTTTCTCTAATCAAAATGTGTTAATTGTGTGTTGTATAATCCATAAAATACTTATAATTAAGGGTTACATCTGAGTGAAGTATAGGGAAGGGCTGTGGAGAAGGATAAATGTCCAGGGTACATTTGTTCAGCCGTGTGCTTTTCAAGCCCACAACATGCATAATTTGGGACTTTTCCTGAAGATGTGGCAGATTAAGAGAATCACATGCTGTGCATGCTTTAATAACTTTTTCTTAAAAGTCACCTAAAAAAGATCTAGCTCAGTGGCAGAGCACATGGCATTTGAAGTTAAAAATATCTCAGGTACCAAGACTAGGAAATGCCTTAAAGTTCTCCTTGAAGGTTGAGATTTCGAAGAACTACATGCCACTTCCCCTTCATGGATTGCTGCCTTATCGTGGCGAAGGGGCTTAAGTAATTCAGAGAAGCCATGGGCTATGCCCTGCAGGGACACCCAAGATGGACAGGTCATAGTGGAGAGTTCTGACTAAATGCGATCCACCTGGAGCTGGAATTGGCAAACCATTCCAGTACCTTTGCCAAGAAAACCCCATGAACAGAAACAAAAGGCGAAAAGATATGATGCTTCCAAGGATTAAACCAAATCCCTTATGAATACACAGTAGAAGTGAAGAACAGATTTAAGGAATTAGATTTGGTGGACAGAGTGCCAGAAGAACTATGGATGGAGGCTCGTAACATTGTACAGGAGGCAGCAACGAAAACCATCCCAAAGAAAAGGAAATGCAAGAAAGCAACGTGGCTGTCCAACGAGGCCTTACAAATAGCAGAAAAGAGAAGGGAAACAGAATGCAAGGGAGACAGGGAATGTTACAGAAAATTTAATGCAGACTTCCAAAGAATAGCAAGGAGAGACAAAAGGGCCTTCTTAAATGAACAGTGCAAAGAAATAGAGGAAAAGAACAGAAAGGGAAAAACCAGAGATCTGTTCAAAGCAATTGGAGATATTAAAGGAACATTTTGTACAAAGATTGACATGATAAAGGACAAAAATGGGAGAGACCTCACAGAAGCAGAAGACATCAAGAGGAGATGGCAAGAATACACAGAGGAATTATACCAGAAAAATCTGGATGTCCCGGACAGCCTGGATAGTGTGATTGCTTAGCTTGAGCCAGATATCCTCGAGAGTGAAGTCAAGTGGGCCTTAGAAAGCATGGCTAACAACAAGGCCAGTGGAGGTGATGGCATTCCAGTTGAACTACAGTGGACCCTCAACTTACAGATGGCTCTGGCTGCAAAATTTAGGTTCGACTTGCAGCCAGAGAATCACAGACCGGAAAAAAAAACCCCAAATGGAACAAAATTGGCCGGTTGCGGATTAATGTGTTTTCAATGCATTATAGGTCAATGGAGCCTTGACCTACAGACTTTTCGACCTGCAGTCACCGTTCCAATACGGATTAATTCTGTAAAAGAGGATCCTGTTAAGGTGCTACACTCAATATGCCAAGAGTTTTGGAAAAATCAACAGTGGTCAGAGGATTAGAAAAGATCAGTCTACACCCCAAACCCAGTCCCAAAGAAGGACAGTGCCAAAGAATGCTCCAACTACCGTACAATTGCACTCATTTCACACGCTAGCAAGGTTATACTCAAAATCCTACAAGGTAGGTTTCAGCAGTATGTGGACCGAGAACTCCGAGAAGTACAAGCTGGATTTCGAAGGGGCAGAGGAACTCAAGACCAAATTGCTAACATGGTCAGAGAGTTCCAGAAAAACATCTACTTCTGCTTCATTGACTATGCAAAAGCCTTTGACTGTGTGGACCACAACAAACTATGGCAAGTTCTTAAAGAAACAGGAGTGCCTGACCACCTTATCTACCTCCTGAGAAATCTATATGTGGGATAGGAGGCAACAGTTAAAACTGGATATGGAGCAACTGATTGGTTGGAAATTGGGAAATGAGTACGACAACACTGTATATTGTCCCCCCGGTTTATTTAACTTATATGCAGAATACATCATGCGAGAGGCAGGACTGGAGGAATCCCAAACGGGAATTAACATTACCGGAAGGAATATCAACAACCTCCAATATGCAGATGATACCACTCTGATGGCAGAAAGTGAGGATGACTTAAAGAATCTCTTAATGAGGGTGAAAGAGGAGAGCGCAAAAATGGTCTGAAGCTCAACGTCAAAAAAACTAAGATCATGGCCACTGGTCTCATCACGTCCTGGCAAATCGAAGGGGAAGATGTGGAGGCAGTGACAGATTTTACTTTCTTGGGCTCCATGATCACTGCAGATGGTGACAGCAGCCACAAAATTAAAAGACACCTGCTTCTTGGGAGGAAAGCGATGACAAATCTAGACAGCATCTTAAAAAGTAGAGACATTGCTTTGCCGACAAAGGTCCACATAGTCAAAGCTATGGTTTTTCCAGTAGTGATGTAAGGAAGGAAGAGCTGGACCATAAGGAAGGCTGACCACCGAAGAATTGATGCTTTTGAATTGTGGTGCTGGAGGAGACTCTTGAGAGTCCCCTGGACTGCAAATAGAACAAACCCTATCCATTTTGAAGGAAATCAACCCTGAGTGCTCCCTGGAAGGACAGATCCTGAAGCTAAGGACTTTGGCCACCTCATGAGAAGAGAAGACTCCCTGGAAAAGACCCTGATGTTGGGCAAGTGTGAAAGAAAGAGGAGAAGGGGACAACAGAGGATGAGATGTTTCGATAGTGTCATCGAAGCTACCAACATGAATGTGACCCAACTCCGGGAGGCAGTGGAAGACAGGAGGGCCTGGCTCTGCTCGATGAGGTCCCGAAGAGTCAGAAATGACTTAATGACTAAACAACAACAACCTGCCACTTGGAGAAGGCAGAGATTGGCTAAGTCGGCAAATGAGATCAAGGGCTACTGAGAGTTGGTAAAAAACCTCTGAGGCCAGATTCGTGAATTTCCAGTTTAGTTTCTTTATCACCTCTTCTAAGGGTAAATCATTTTGACGTTTGTCTCTCTTCTATTTCCTTGGTAGCACTGACTGATGAATCTGGGCACTTTTTCTTCAATGGGAATTCTGCTGTTGATAATCCTCAGAACTTCAGAGTGGCTGGCACTATGTTCAAATATCGCCGGCCTTCCAACCTCTACTCTGATGGCTTGGAGTATATTATTGCTCAGGGGCCTACCAACCAGTCTCTCAATGCCATGGTGAGTAAGGGTGGCTATATGATTTGATTGCTTTTTTTCTCCTTTGCAAATCTCAGGACTGCTAGCATGTAGTTCAAGAGAACCGTGCCTAATCATTAACCAAGTCTGAGGGATGAGTTCTTGAGACACACTGGTTTTCAAGTGGAGTGATTCTGCTTAAATCTTAACCACATTTGCCTTTTACATCAGGTTCCTGTGTTCATACAGGTTGTACCAGGTCACTGAAAAACGCTGGATAAATCTTTAAAAAGCCACAGAAGCCCATTGGGAGTTCATGCCCTGACCTCCAAAATGTCTCATACCTATAGACTTTTTTTCTGCAAACAAATTCCTGTTACTTTTCAAAGGTTTCCTTTCCTTCATGGTTGTTGGTATGCACAGCTTTCACCATGGCACAGGGTGAAATCCCAAACTTATTGTCTTTGTCCCTGGCTGACTAAAATCAGTAAGACCCTGCAAGCAAAGGTGTCACCTAAGTAGTCAAGAAGATAGGGAGGGAAGGGAAAGCCTTCAGGGAAGACTAATATTTTACTCACCACACTTCATGTGTACTTAGGATTTAGCCACTGGCTTCAGATCTTGTTGAGCAGAGCTTGGAACCATTATTGTTCTGGAGTTGTACAACTTCCAGAATCATCCATTTACCGCACCTGATGCAACAGCCTAGGTTAGGAAGCCCAGGAGAGGTTGAGTGACATATACAGTTCTGTCCTCCAATGGAGGAGAGTAGTGGAAGGTTTTGTCAGACACTTAGACTTTCCCCAGGAATCCATAGAGAACAGAAGCCTATGGTTCATCTTAGCTGACATTATCCCAATAAAAGGTTAATCCCAGAGTGAAACCAGACAATAATTGACAAGCATTTCAAAAACTCGTCCAGGTTTCTAAGTATTTTCCTTGTTGCAATAATTTTTGGCAATTCCAAAGCTTGTTAATTTTCTGCAAGCCTTTTATTTTTCTATATAGCTTCTAGGTTCTATATTTTCATAGAATCATAGAAAAGTGAAGTTGGAAGGGGCCTACAAGGTCATCAAGTCCAACCCCTGCTCAATGCAGGAATACAGTCAAAGCATATCTGCCAGGTGATTATCTACGTTTTTCTTGAATGCCTCATGTTGGAGCACTCACCAACTCCCAAGGTAACTGGTTCCTGCTGCTAAAGATAGAAAGTTCAAAATATATTAAAGAAAGTGATACAGTTGTGAGGAAAAACTGTAGACACAAATACATACAATCCAAAAGTCTTATAGTTGAGTAAAACTGTAAGCACATAATTTTAAAAATGTGAAAACTGAACTTAAGCTTTAGGTAAATATTTAAGTCAGAAAATACAAAATCAAGAATACAATAAATGCCAAAAAGAATGTTTTTGTTACATTCTTAGACCTATAAGAGCTTATAGCCTAAAAGGGTAGAGAATACATCTCTGTAACATCTCAATGAAAAGGTAAAATATTATAAACTTCAAAAGCTTTCTTGAAAATGCATGAAGAAATATCAAAATTCTCATAAGAAAATATAAAATGAAAAGCATTGCTGCTTTTAGACACACAAAATCAATTCATAATATTACAGGTTACAGTTAAAAGTCTATGTGAAGTCTATTGATGTTTTGATGCCTCATCTCTGTTTACAATAAGCACTCTGTTATATTTCTTGCAGCTTAAGGATGTAATAAATCAATGGCTGTTTATATTCTAAGCTTCTGTTTATTTAACTTGCTGTAAAGTTAAATACAAGCAATTTGCTATAAAGTTAATTACAAGCAAATTACAAGCAATGAGCATTGCTTCTTAGCAATGGCTATTTATCTTTCTTGCTTCCTAGCATGTAAATTAGCTTAAAAGCTTCTGTGTAAACATGCCAGATGTCACTCTTGCTTTCATTTATTACCCATCAGGTGGCAGTATTATATTAGCAACAAAGTTTGTCATTTTAAAGACTGTGCATGTCAGTGAATACTCTTACATAGGTCATCTCTGCTTAATTTGGGTCATTTCCCCCACAATTTTATTTATTTTATTTCATCCCCTTCAATGTTTTCAACACAATCAAGCACATTTGGCAGTTCAGAGAAGCAATTCAAAGGCTGCCCCACTGTCTGTAGTGTCTGCTGCTTGAAGCTCTCACTTTCCGTTGCCTAACAGTGAAGCTGGTTTGGTTGCACCTAGTGGCTTTCCTCAAGTAGACTGTCATGCCAGAAAGAAACATGGGTTGGCTCTGAATCCTCCTTTTAAGAGAGTTAGTCAGGGAGCTGGCAGATCCTGGAAAAATGTCTTTTTCTACTACAGCATACTACCCATTTACATGCTAACTGAGTAACTGTGGGAGCTATCACTTAAAAAGGTAAATTTTTCAAGACTTGAAGTCGAACCAGTCCCATCATCGTCTGACTTCCTGAACATTTAACCCTGGTGCAGAGTTGTAATGTGAGGAACCTGTCTCAAAAGAGTTTGGTTTGCAAAATGATAGCATTTATACGGATTTTGGAGCACAGTGGGTTAAAAGTGTTTGTTTTGTGTTCTTATTCCTTGTTGAGCACAGTATTATAACTTCAATGGGAAAATGACCCATGTAAGCTATGACTACACAGTGCCAAGGGCACTGTTTCCAGCTCTTCAAACAGTGTCTCCTGCCATCAAGATGCCCCTCAGTCTTCACTTACCAGAGTCCAGTCACAGTCACCAAGATGAAATTCAATCCATTTCTGAAGATTTCAATGCTACTTGGATTTCGCTTAAACCAGACGACATACAGGAACAGGGGGAAGATAATGAAGGCATGACCTTCAATAGCCAGAACTACTTCCCAAGTAACTCTACAGATAAAGGCAGTGACTGGAGCTGGAAACATGGAGCAGAGGAAGGAAGATTTGGTTTCCAAGTTCAGCAAGTCTATCATACAAACAGAGCAGGCGAAGAGGAAGAAATGGCAATTAGCAAGGAAACAGATCTAGGTTAGTATCTTTTCATGTCACTTTGTTTTCTCAAGCATATACAACATGGAATTTCTCCTCATGAGGCTTGTGTGTATGTGTGAGTGCACGTGTGCATGCAGTATAAATCCTGCATGTGGAAAATCCAAAGGATATACCCAAATTGTATAGATATCTTTGTTTATGCAACATTTTACATCTAATGCCATAGTCAACGAGCAATGGCTTACATCATTAAAACATAATATTAAAATTAAAAACAGTGAATTATTCAAATATTAAATGACTTAATAACGTAATATTAAAAATGATAGGTAAAGCACTACTGAAACAGATTTAGAAGCAACAAAATGCAAGTTGTTTCTTTTTAAAATCTCTCCTAGACAGTCAGTCACTAAGGAAAAGTCTGTATGAAGAGAAAGGTCTTTGCCTGCTTGTGAAAGGATAGCAACAATGGGGCCAGCCTGACCTCCCATGGGAGGGAGTTCCGGAATCTGGGAGCAGCAACAGAGAAGGCCCTCTCCCGTGTCCCCACCAAGTGCACCTGTGAGAGTAGTAGGACTGGGAGAAAGGCCTGAGCAGGCTCATGAAGGAGATATGGTCTTTGAGATAGCTTGGACCCAAGTCATTTAGGGGTTTATGGGTTAAAACCAGGACTTTGAATTATGTCTGGAAACAGATCGGCAGCCAGTGGAGCTGCTGTAACAAGAAGGTTATGTGATCCCTGAAACTAGCCTCAAGTAACAAAGTGGCTGCAGTATTTTGGACCCACCAAAGTTTCCAAGCAATTTCCAAAGACAGCCCCACATAGAGTGCATTATAGTAATTCATCCGGGATGTAGCTAAGGCATGTGTAACTGTGGCCATATTAGATCTCTCCAGGAACCAGGTGCAGCTGGCCGACTAGTTTTGCCTGTGCAGAGGTGCTCCTTGCCACTGCTGAAACCTGGCTCAGAGACAAATCTAAGAGTACACACAAACTGCATGTCTGCATTTTCAGAAGGAGTGTGACCCTATCTAGTAGAGATATATCTAATACGCCTTAATTGAAATCCAGATTTAAGAGAAATCCAAACAGCTCACAAATTTTCAGCTGAACGATTCAAAGAATTCTGTTTACATTATATTTTGCAAGTTGAGTTTTGGCTATAGAGCAAAAGCACTATCAATTTATTCTTTATCAACAATTGCACATTTTCAAATCGGCTGTATATCTGTATTAATAATTACTAGAAACTTTTTATTGCTGAAAGTGATCCCGTTGTATTTAAATTGTGTGCTGGATACAAGAATACATCTGAAATCCTCTTCATACCAAATTGTGCCCCAAAACATGGCCTTGCCAATTTGCATCACCCAACAAGAACAGTCTCATTCCTCTTAGGGGACAAATTGGAGAAGTAATGAATCAAATGTTTAGCAGTGGAATATTTTGCGTGGGGTAGGTGTCTCTCTGGTCTGACTGTTATGCATTTTATTTCAGACTTTAGACTCAGTCGTATCACAATCAGCACAGCCATGCCCCATGGTGCAGTGAGGCCTGAACCCCAAGTGACCAGCAGGATTGGACCATCCATACCACATCTGTTTCAGAAGCTCTGTCTCCAAAATCTACAAAATGCTGCTTTTTGCAGAGAATCGCACTACCTGGCAATCAAGCTAGGGAGGAAAAATGGAACAGGAAGATCTGGTGACAATCTGTTCGTTGAGTGGCCAGAGGAACTGCCCAAGCAACCTGCAAAACAGAACTTTGTTGAGAATGTCAATGTTGAAGCTTATGTGGTGGGTGAAGCAGCAAATGACACAATGATGGCATCAATTTCCAAACCCATTTCTGGGTCTGTTCTTCAGAGTGGTTTGGGGAACAAATACCTGTTAGAACCTCTTCAGGCTATAGACACAGAAAGGTGAGATGGGACTCTGTTCCAAAGAAAAGATAGATGTCATGTGAAAACAGTGGAGAACTTCTGGTTTTACTGCTGCCTCTGAATGCTTTTGGATTTTGGCCAGAGAATTTGCATTGAGACCCTTAGTTACATTACGAACATGGCTTCCTCTCAACTTCACAATTTGAATAAAGTTAGCAAATTAAATTCAGTGTTGTCTCAACCCTAAGGTTTGGGTGGGCTTTTGCTTTAACTGCAGAACTACAGGTTTGGGTTGGAGGGGCAAAGATTTCCTCGTGCTGTCACAGGTAGCAACCAGTCAGTGTTGTTCGCAGTCAAACACTGCTGTAGACTTGCTGAACTGTATTTTCACAGCTTAGCCTGCAGAAGAGAGGTACATTTGGATAAAGATTGATTGTCTTCCTCAGGAGAACTGTAACCTAAATGTCATAAAAGAAGTGTATTATATTCCTGGTGGAATCCTCAAATGTATTTTTAAGTTACTATGAGACATATATAAGCAATCTTAATCAGCACCAGCAATAATCAAGAAAGGGGAGTAAAGACTTTTCTTCTGACAAGTTACTTTTTTTCTGCTGCAGCAATGACTTTGAACTGAACCCTCTTGGTCATGATGACATCAGTCTGGCTGACATGTATCGGTGGAAAGTATCAGCTTATGCTCCTTGCAGCTCTACATGCACATCAGGTAGCTTTGCTTATGGTGTTGGTGATGGTAGTCCTGAGCAGTGATTTTTTTCAAGGGGTTAAGACATTTTTTTCAACATGCCCAGTTTCCTAACAATATTTTGAGGGCCTTTCCTGGAAATAGAAAACAATGTAGTATCTCAGGAGACTCCAGTTTACAACATTGTAGTTGTATATTAAGAGATATGTCTGCCCTGCAGCATGACTTTGCTTCATGAACAATGCTCCCCAGCCTAGTGCCCTCCAGATGTGTTGAACTCTAATTCTCATCATTCCCAGCTATCACACTCCATAGCTATTGGAAGATACTGGGGTGGTGAAGACTTACAGAACAGCCTGTTACATAATGCTGCTTTATGTTGAATCGGACCTTTGGTCTGTTTTACCCAGTATTGTCTAATTTGGCTGGCTGTGGCTATCTGAGCTCCCAGACAGAAGGGTTGTTTTGGTGGTGCTTGCAATTTAACCTGGAATCTTTCATACTTGCAAGATGCAACTAATAGTTTCCCATTCTAGGATAATTCATGTATCTCTTCTGGTTGCTATGTGTATACACATGTGTTTATGTGGTATTTTCCATTTGCATGGTAACATTTCAACTGTATCAGGACCTATGGACTTAACAGTAAACAAACAAGCAAACAAATAAACCCATCCCTCCATCCATAAATATGTATTTCAGGACAAAGGCTTCATTTTTACTGCATATCCCAGTTTTCACTACTTGTGCAGTTCAGCTTTTCAAAACCAAGTATTCAAAAGAAGTGGTTTTACACTTGTGGTTTCACAGTTCTAGGTCTGCTAGAGAAGGTGAAAGTACACATCTCACAGGTGGAAAGAAAGAAGTATCTTTTCCCATTGTTAGGAAAGAAATTTATTTTCCTAATGGAGGGAATCTCTACCTGCTTATTTCAAATGACAGCAGGAAACATGCGAAAAGGAAATTGAGCCACTTATGTGTCCATTGCCACAGCTTAGTTGAAATGAATACCTGATGTTGCTGTCTGTGAAGTCTCTTGCTAATGATCATTTAACAGATTTTGACTAAAAAGAACCAGTTTTGTTATCTATTTAGGGATAAGCACTTCTTATGCTATGTGTGTTCGTTATGATGGAGTAGAAGTGGAAGAAACACATTGTGATGCACTAACTCGCCCTGAACCCACACATGAATTCTGTGCAGGCAGAGACTGCCAACCTAGGTGAGTAGAATGTGCCATCCCAAGAAAGGCATTTAAGGGACTGATGTGTATTATGTATTATAATATTATAAAATATTGTATTATAATTATGCATTATGTGGGCTGAAATCTAATAGAAACCCACTAACAACTAGTGTAGGCCCGTTGAAACAATGGATCTTATGAAGGAGTTGACTTGTCAAATCCCCACTGATTCAGTGGGCCTACTTTACTTGCAGCTTGATGCTGGATTTCACTGTTACTTTAGCACTGAAACAGAATATAAAACTGATTTGTGGAAACTGGATACAGTATGATGTGGTATATAAAGGACTATGCTTTGCATTTGAAATAAGAGAAAATGTTACTTTGTTAGCAAACCATGATTGTATTGCACCATAAAAATGTTTAGTTCAATTTTAATTTCAAACTGAGTGTGACCAACAGAAGAACAAGAGGTTTTCTGTAGGGGTACTGAAGAGATAAAATCAGAGCTTGGAATGTCAGGTCCCAAATTCAATTCATTGGCGTTAGAAATTGTGAGGTCAATTTGTTGCTGTTAATGTTTAAACCTGGAAAATTATTAGTTACATTAGCATTTTTAGTCCAACAATTAATTAGTTTAAATTTAAAAAGATGAGCTTAACAGAGAATGGCAAGCAAGCTGTCAATATTGATCCCTTGTAGCACATTTGTGTTCCTTCAACAGTTATTGGTTCCTTCAAAAGATTGCTCTGGAAATTACCTTCTGATGGACTACATATCTGATAATAAAATTGTTAACTAGGGATAGTGATTCTGACATGTGAAAACTGTTTTGTTGGGGAAGGATATATAGTAAGACAGGATGACAACTCTTCATCCACATGGGAAGTGCACATCCAACAGAACTAACTCTACACAGAGTCCACAATTTCTTTGACCTTTTCGAAATTCTCTTTATTAGTGTAACAAAACAGAACCTTTGGTTATAGTTTTAACCAAAGGCTGCTCAGCTCCCCCTACATTTACTTTACCATCAGTAATACAAGTCAGATAGCCAGTTTCTGACATGCTTACTCATTGGCGACACTACCCATGGGACATTCACACAACTGAAAGTTATTAACTGCTAATGTCCTTTAGATAACGTAGTATGAGAAATACTTTTGAAGTTTTTCATTTGGAGCAAAATCAGCAAATAGGAGGATAAGTAAGCTGCGATTATTTACATGGTTTCTCCTTCAAATGTCTGTAGACAATGAGTTAGCTATTCTAGGGAGACAAAAGGTCATTAAGAAAAATGTTGAAGAGCACAGGGCTCAGGACTGAAACCTCGGTACCCTACTTATTACCTCCTCCCAATTTGAGAAGGAATTGACTACTAAATCATACTCACCATCTGAGTATGATTCAGTAGCCAACTCTGTATCCACCTGACAGTTGTTCTATCCAGCCCACAATTGGTTAGCTTTCTGATCGGTATATCATGGGGCACTTTGTCAAAAGCTTTGCTGAAGTCAAGATACAAAATCATAGAATCATCATTGGGTTGTAAGGGACCTTGGAGGTCTTCTAGTCCACCCCCCTGCCAAAGGCAGGAGACCTCATACCATCCTGGACAGATGGCTATCCAATCTTTTCTTGAAAACCTCCAGTGATGGGGCACTCACAACACTGGGAGGCAAGCTGTTCCACTGCTTAATATGAAACACCATCAGGAAATTCCTCCTTATTTCCAGGTTGGATCTCCCTCTGACGAGTTTCCACCCATTGGTTCTTATCCTACCCTCAGGCACAGTGGAGAATAAATCGATGCCCTCTTCCTTGTGGCAACACTTCAGATATTGGAGGACTGCTATCATGTATCCCCTCAGACTTCTGTTAATTAAGCTAAACATACCTAGTTCTTTTAGTTGTTCTTCAAAGGATTTAGTCTCCAGTCCCCTTATCATCTTTGTTGCTCTTCTCTTCACCCCTTCCAGGGCCTCAGCGTCTTTTTTGTATTGTGGTGACCAGAACTGGATGCAGCACTCCAAGTGTGGCCTTACCAGTGTGGTATGACTTCCCGTGATCTTGATGCTGTTCCCCCCGTTGATGTAGCCTAGGAGTGTGTTGGCTTTCTTGGCAGCTGCAGCACACTGCTGACTCATCCTTAGGTGGTGGTCCACCAGAACACCTAAATCCCTTTCACAGGCACTACTGGCAAGCCAGGTACTACCTATCCTGTACCTGTGCATCTGGTTTCTCCTCCTAAGTACAGGGCCTTACTTTTCCTGCCACTGATCTACATCTTATTGGATAGGGCCTAATGTTCAAGTCTGTCTGGGTCCTTCTGAATGTTGAGTCTATCTTCCAAAGTATTAGCAGTTCCCCCCAGTTTTGTGTCACCAGCAGATTTGATGAGTGCACCTTCAATCCCCTCATCCAGGTCATTTATGAAGATGTTGAAGAGCACCGGGCCCAAGCCAGAACCTTGAGGGATCCCACTGCACACTTCCCTCCACGTCGATATGGTTCTATTGAGGACCACATGTTGAGAGCATGGTAGTTGCACTGTCTATCCCACTTTGTTCTATTTTATGCAGAAGTAGGGTGTAGTCTACCTTATCAAATGCCTTACAGAAGTCTACTATATTCTGTTTTCTTGGTCCACTGTCTCCCACAGTGCTGCTTTTGACAGAGTGGACCAAGTTTTCCTTTTGCGCAAATACAGATGCAAAAAAATAAATAAAAATGAATTAAGCAGTTCTGCTTTCTCCCTGTTGCCTGTCACCTTCTTGTCATCTTCTCCCACTAGCGGACCAACCATTTTCTTGACTTTCCTCTTCCTTCTTATGTGTTTAAAGAACCTTTTTTCGTTATTTTTGGCATTTGTTACAAGTCTTAGCTCATTCTTTTTAATTTATTTATTTGTTTGTTTGTTTATTTATTTATTTATTTATTCATTCATTCATTCATTCATTCATTCATTCATTCATTCATTCATTCATTCATTCATTCATTCATTCATTTATTTACTTATAGAGACAAGAAAACAAAGAGAAAAAAGAAAAGGAAAAAGGACTAACCCCTAAAACTAACCCCACCCCCTTTGGAGTCCAAGACTCCAGCTTCGTAAACCTATCTGCTCCCCCGATTTCATTTCCAGTATGTGCTAAGTAGATATACATACATCATAAACTTTGCCCTACACTCCTGTCTTCTGGGCCCAAGAATATATTAGTTCCCAGCTTTGTTTTACATAGTCTCTTGGTTGTTCCCGTAGTGCTTCTGATAGGGTGTCCAGTTCTACTATGTCCCATAACTTCTTTAATAGCTCTTCTATCATTGGAACCTCTTCAGTTTTCCATTTTTGGGCCCAGAGTAGTCTAGCTGCTGTGAATATATATATATAATACATTGCTTCAATTTATTATCGTTAATGCCTGATATGACAAGTCTTAGCTCATTCTGAGTCTTAGCCTTCCTGACTCCATCCTTGCAAATTCAAGCTATTTGCTGATACTCTTTTCTAGATATGAGTCCCTTTTTCAGTTTTTTATACTTCTCCTTTTTGTCCCTTAGCTTGTCAGAGAGCTCTGTGTGCATCCATGCTGGTCTTGTCGGACATCTCTTGTTTTTCTTTCTCTGTGGTATTGTTTTGGTTTGGACCTTTATTATCTCGCCTTTCAGGGTTTCCCAAGCATCCTGAACTGTTTTTCCCTTTAGGATTTCCATCCGTGGACTCCTTCCTATTACATCTCTTAGTTTGTTAAAGTCGGCTCTCTTAAAATCTAGAACATCAGTCTGACTTGGTACAGTTACCCTTGCCCGCATGATGGTGAATTCTAATATGATATGGTCTCTTTCTCCTAAAGTCACTGCAATTTCCATTCCCTTTACTATTTCCTCTCTATTAGTAAGTGTTACAGTAAGTCCAGTATGGCTGACCCTCTAGTTCCCTCCTCCACCTTTTGGATGAGAAAGTTGTCAGCCAGGCATGTCAAGAAGCTGTTGGCTCTCCCACTTCCTGCAGAGTTGGTTTCCCAGTTGATATCCGGGTAGTTAAAGTCCCCCATTGCTACAGTGGTGTGGTTCTTACACATCTCAGCTAATTGACTTGCAAAATGTTCATCTATTTCCTCTGCTTGCTTAGGTGGCCTGTAGTACACGCCTACAGCTATGTCATTCATTTCCCCCTAAATATTCACCCAAAGAGCTTCAGGAAGGCTTTCAGGAGTAGTAATTCTTTACATACAGTGCAACCCCTCCTTCTCTTTTGTTGAGTCTGTTTCCTTTGAACATAGACAGATGGAATGTTGTAGACATTGCATATCAGGTAGGTTAAAAATGAGATCAGATTAGTGTGCCAGGATTGGTTCTTGACAAATCTATGTGGGGTTCTAGTCATTACTCCATTGTTTTCTAAGTGCTTAATAATCTGTTCCAGAATTTTCCCTGGGATTGATGTCAAGCTGACTGATCTGTAATTTCCAGGTTCCTCCTTTTTTACCTTTTTGAAGATAAGGACAACATTAGCCCTCCTCCAGGCATCTAGCACCTCACTCATTTCCCATGATTTTGAGAAAATAATGCAGGGAGGTGGAGCTTTGTCGCGGTGAAGCCAGCAGCTGCCAGGAACATCTCCCATTAACAGCTGGAACTGCTCGGTCTGGGGTCCCTCTAGAAATGAGGGGATCGGGGAGATCATGAGAGGTCTCTCTAAAGCAGTTGGTGAGCCCCAGAAGAAGGTTGGGCAGCAACCTGATTTTTCTTCCTTCTGAAAATTCACCCGAGCACAGATCGGAGACGGGAACCATTTTTGGCAGAATAGCTGTGAGTAACTCCACCCCCCCCCCAGGAGAACAAGAAATATGACTGAAAATATACAATAACAAAGTAAGTTGAAGCCTTTGATTTATGAATAGCCTCATTAAGATGAAAAAGAAATTAGAGTGAAAATACTTGACCAAAAGAAGATAAAGAGCGGCGAGTCTTGCTTGCCAGCCTGCTTCTTTAAAGCGAAACTGACTCTTAAATAGCAGGCTGGCTCAAGGCCA